ATAATAGACCATACGAGATCGTAAATTATTTGAAGTATCAAGAAAAGGAAAATTTTTAATAGTGTGGTTTCGCAGAATATATTGCACAGTATCAAGTTTCCGAAGAATCCTAACGGAACTATATCTATCAAAAAAAAAAATATATATATATATATATAAGATAAATTTTTTTTTTTTTGTGTTAATTACTGATAAATAAATTTATTCGAAGCTCAAAAAAATAACTTACCCTCCGGCTAAGTCATTAAACAAGGAAACACTGCGTTGAATTATTTTTGAACTATGGCCCCATCCTTCAAGATTCTTTGCTCTAGTAACAAAAATTATATAAGAAAAATATTAAAATATGAAATTTTTTTTAATTAAGGCATTGATCAGAAAAACTTACATTCTTTGAATAATAGCATTCAATAGCTATTTGATGCAAAAATTAATTAAATATTAATAACGGTTATGAAAATTTTTCTTAAAATGATGATGAATAACCAACCATAGATTGATCATTATATCCTATATCAGATAATTTACTATAAACTTTTGAAACCCTTTGTGCACTTTCACCGATGTAACTCTTGCGAAACTGTTGGAAAAAGTAAACTAAAGCCAATTCAAATTTTTCATAACCGCTACCACTGGTACGCTATTTTATATATATATATATATGAAAAAATATTAGATTTAATTTTAAAAATATAAAAATATTTATTTCAAATACCGGTGCATTCCATTGCTCATTCATATTCATTAGTTGGAGAATTTGGCATGTAAGTTCACCATCAATCAAATCTTGTTCCTCAGAACTAATATAAGTCTTTTTAACAAAATTATAACAAATCATAAGAATACATTTTACTTGTATTACAAAATTTTTTTTTTTAATAAAAAAAATTAATTAATACCTGTCGACCTCCGATCATTCCTCCAATCATATACATAAGCCAAGCAAATTTTGCTATCAAAAATTGAAGAACGTTATTAAGGCAAATTCCGGTAACATATAAGGATAATTTTTTTCTTTTGACGTTTTAAAAATAAAGTTAGTCAAATAAATTACTTTCAATTGTATCGAAAAATTGAGTATAGGAACTATTAACAATTCCAGCGTTCACTTGTGTAAATAATTCCTAATTAATAAAAATGAAGTTAGATTTATGAAATATCCTAGTACCAAATAAAGAAAACATCTATATATATATATATTAATACGGAATATGGTCATACTTTATATTGATTAAAGATTGGTTGGAATAAATTATCAATACTTGTCTGAGATTCATCATATTTGTACCGAGCAATATTTGAAAACATCTCGAGATCATCCACAAGAGCATCTTCATTCTCTAAGGGATCTAAAAAAAATTAACAAATACATTAGAATAATCAGCAAACAAATGCAAAGCGTAATTAAATAACACTACCATCAATAGAACCATCTAATATTTGTTCCACTGATTGAATTTTAGAACTTATGTATGCTGCAGTTAGCTAAAATATTATATTTAACATTTAATAAGTAATATTAAAAACTCATAATAAAACTCGAATAATGTATTTATCAAATATTAAAAATAAAATTACTTTGCTTGAAATTATATCTAATTTATTTGTAGAACCTGGACGAGTATTCCCAGCATATGAATACATTTTGGACCAAAATGCAAGTAAATATTGTATGCTATTTGGCACAAACTGAAAAAAAAAAAATAAATCATTTATCTTAGATTTCTAAAGTACAATAATACAATTGATAAATTTACCTGCCAACTATTAAATCCTTTAATAGTAAAGTCGGCAACAAAATCAATCCAATCGCTAAATCCGGATTTCTCAGTGATCTCGTTCCATTGATACGTAGATCTAAATCTTGAAAGAAGACGACAAAACTCGTGATAGTTGTTTAAATCAGATAATCCTATTGAACCTATTATTATCTCGCTAATTCCTTGCATCAATGCATGAAGGAATTTGGAACGCTCTTCTTCATTAAAAAGAGAACGACGAATTGAAGAAATTTGAACGAGCACTTCCATAACCTTTGAACGCAAATATATATCATTATAAGGTTTTTAATGAAATTATGAGTATCCTAATAATTAAACATACTTGACTTGAATGTGGCGGTTGAAACCTTTTATAAGCCTCGAAAAATGTTTGGAGGAAAGTCGGATCTTCGATTGTTGAACGCCAAGATGATGTAACCTATAATGTTAATTCCCATTATTGACATATAACTTTCGAATACAATAATTTTAATAACGTTAAATTCATAGTTGAACTTACTTGGATACTTCCAACATCTTCACCAGACTCGTCCGGAGTTGTGCCAATGAAATCAAATGCGAAACAGTTGCGAAGTAAAGTCAAACAATATTCTTTCAATTTACGTTCTTGATTATCTACATATACATATAAAATATAATATATATTAGATTATAAGATTATATTGAATTACATTAAAATGATAATTACCATTTGTGTAAACCATTTCTCCATTCAAAATTTGACGTAGAACAACAAAACCCAGCCGGAAAATGTCTAGTAATTCAGAATCTCTAAATCCAATAGCTTTTTTAATTAAATAAATAAATATATGATGATGATATGTGAATAAATAATAAAATCAAAGGTATGAAAAGTATAAATAAATTTTAATAAATTAACCTGTTTTTCTTTGCCTCGCCAAATTTCGTGGAGATTGCTGATTCATCTCGGAAACGATGGTAGATAATACTTGCAAACCTACAATTCTATGGTCCACAGTAGACTACATATATAATCACAGATAATTATGCGTAATTTATTCCTGATAATTCTCACACTTTAATGATCAAAAGACGAACTATTGAGATTAGCGGGATATTGTAAATCAAACAGTAACAGAATTACCTGTATGAAATTAGATACGTCATTTGTTATATTTTTGAATTCATCGTCTTCAAACCATCCAACTTTTGTTATAGTTGCAAACAGTTGTGCAAGCGAAGACAAGACAAATGGCTGATAATCAGGATGTAAAGCCAAATAATTGAATAAAAAACTTCCTTTTAATTGTTTGAAATTTATTATTATTATTTGTAATTCATAGAAAGAAAAAAAAAGAGTAACAGAAAATGAAATGAACAAATAGTTTGTGAAATCACGCTTTTATTTGCTTTATAAAACAAATTATACGAAAAAGCATTAAATAACAAGGGATAAAAAAGAAGAAATTTTTTATTGAGCAAACCCATACTCAGTTCTAATTTATGTTTCGCTGTGAACATAGAATAATGATCCAAGACCAGACTTTTTAACCTTGCCGATGCAAACAATTGAGCATAAGGCGAGGTTGAATTCTCCAAAAGCCATTTACAATACATGGAAGATTCAGTCGGCGATTGTATTTTTATACCCAAAGGGTTGTTTGGTAAACCATTTGACCCGTTGGTACGTGGAGATAAAGTCTCGGAGAAGGTTGGAAAAGCATTGTCTAATAGCTTCTCGGCCTTTGAGCGTTGTTCTTGAGAATTGGGGGAATATAATTCTGTCCACCGACGATACAAAGAAATGGAACCAAATTTTGAGCAACACGCGTATTGCTAGTGAGCAAAAAAGGGAAGGTTATTTAACCTTGGCAAAGGGATTCCAGATAAAGTAGATTTTGATTGTGCGTTCCATTCATCGTTTGAGTCAAGGTAAATTTATTATAAGTTTGAATCTGTAAATCAGCAAAACATCAGCAAAGTTTCTTTACAAAGGTTTTTTCTTAAAATAATCACTATTGAAAAAAAAAATGTTTACGCATGTGTTAAATACCAGTCTTATGAAAATCATTACATCATTATCATGATTTTATCATACTACAAAAATTTTTAACTATTTATATTTACTACTTTTTTAACTTATTGCATAACTTTTAATTATTCTCGATAAATTTATTAGTATTAAAAAGTAATCTATTACACCACCCAAATTAAATGTCCGCTGAGTGGTAATTATAAACTAATAAATAATTTTTTGTATGGTAATATATTAAGATCGCTAAATAAAACCTAAAATTTCGTAAATAAATAGTAAAAGATAAAATTTGAAAAATAATATTAAATTCAAATAGATTTAAATTAAAATAATTTAAATTTAATTAATATTTGTAAAGATTAAAATTAATCAAAGTAATAGCTAATTAACTTTATTGTAAATTATAAATTTATTTATATATTAAATAATTTAAACTATAGAATTTTAGTTTTTATAATTATAAATATAGTTATTATATATTTGTAAAACTTAAATAAATAAATTAATTTAATTTGTTATTATAAATAATATTTTTTTCAAATTCTTTTTATTAAAAAAAAAATCTTTTTTTTATTTTTAATATAAAACAATATAAGCAAATTTTATTTATTATAAATAATATAATAAGATAAATAGAAATAATTATATAATTACAAATTTTTTCATTAATATTTATAAATATATGAAATAGAAAGAGAGGAAACTACTCTGAAAATAAAAAATAAGTTTTAGTTAATTTAGATAAGGTTTAGTAAAAACTACATTTTTTAATTATAAATGGAAATTGATTTGTATAGTAAAAAATTGAGATATTGTAAATTTAAAAATATTATGCTAAAAAAGATTAGCGTCTAAAAGTAGTATAAGTTAATGTTTATTAATTGAACTATTGATCAACATCTAAAAATAGATGATTTCAATACAATAAATTTTTTTTATAGTAGAAAAAAAATTTCACAAAAAAAATTTTTGCAAATTCAGATAAATTTTAATATAAGATATACAAAAATTAGATATAATTAAAATCTTTTTTTTTTTGTTTTTGTTTTTATTATTATTATTAATATTTTAAAACTATTCTATTAAAGAATTAAAATAGTTATTTTTTTATTTTTTTTTTAAAAAAAAGAGAAGAAAGAAAAAAGAATATGATAAGTATAATAATTAAATAATATTTAAAAAGTCAAAATGCATTTTCATCTTTTTTGAAAAATTAATTTTTATTTAAGAGCAATTAGATGAATTTGTTATACTATAAACTTTTAATTCGTTTCAAACCATCTAAAGCTTTGTTAATTTTTCAACCTATCTGTTTATTTCAACTTTAAAAAATTATTCCTTGTAAGGATTTGTAATATACTATTTATTAAATTTTTTAAAAAATATAACTATATATATATATTCTATTTTTTTAGTTGTATCTTATATAAATGAAATAGAAAATCAAATTTTCTAAAAGGATATTATTAATAATTTAAGATTTATTTACAAAATATAATTTCTGATAATTCAAATAGACAGTTCTGAAAAGATAAAAAATATTAGCAAAAAATCATTTTATTTTTTGAAAAAAAATATTTTTTTTAAAGATAAGTCATTTATAATCATTTAAAAAAACTACTAATAATAATAATATCTTCAGAAATAGGTATTTATCAATTTGACTTAATCTAATTAATTATTTAAATTTTTATTTAACCCTTTTTTATTTTGCTTCCTATAGAACTATTATTAAAAAAGAATTTTTCTATAATAGAGATACTAAATCAAACGTCAATAACTTCAATATTAATAAAATCATTTAAATTAAGAGATCAAGAAAAAATGTTTAAAAAAATTAAAGCCTTTACCACTTATATATTATGACTGAATTTTATTGAAAGTATCTTTAAGAATTCTTTTGCCATTTAATGTTATCATTCACAATCAACATTCTTATACAACTTGACATTGAAAATGTTACTATTTCTGCTAATTACTGCTATAAACTAATGAATATGAAAATGGTATTAATAGTTGGATTTATAAGTAAAGCTACTAAAAAGCTATAAATATGAAGATTATTTGAAATATAGATGATGGTTACTATTATTATAATTATTTTTTTAATTTTTTTATTTTTAATTTTTAATTTATTTTTTTATTTTTTTTTTTATTTTAAACTTTTAAATTTAATAAAATTTCAAATTTTATTTTTTATAGTAATGCATTCTAATATTTTAATTTTTTGTAATTTTATAACTCTATCTTTTTAATTTAATTATTTTATTTATTATTTGAATTTAATTTATTTAGATTGTTCTCAAGCAACTAACTCAATGGATTGAATTGATTTTATTCAATTAATCAAAAATCGAAAATCAATTCTTAGAGAAACAATAAAATAATTAAATCTTAAAATTAAAAAAAAAATGTTGAATTTGAATTATATTAAAAATGAATTTTTGATTATCAAACGCCAATTAAATTTCGACGCGTGATTAGTAAATATTTTGACAATCTGCGCGATCAAATACTTCAATTCACTTCTGGAAAATCATGACACAATATCACAGATGGTTACTTTCAAAACTAATATCGAATAAACAATGTATAACTACAAATACAGTTATTCTTTTGGGTAACTTACAACTTGTTATAAGAGATAATTCGGTATATCCAAAAGGTACAATTTTATTCGAAGACGAGACCGGGAAAGTTCCTTGTCTTTTAATAGGCTACGAAAAAGAATGGTTTACTAGAACAATAGCATTGTTATCATGGAGTTTCTTAATAAACAAGCAACCAAACGGAAAAGAAGTGTTTCATTTAGAAGTGCATTCAGAAGTTCTTTTTTTACAAGATTCTGAAGCATTATATTCTAAAGCAACAAATATAAATATTGAACGTTTTGAGAAGCGAAATCGATTATCATTTTCCAGTCAACAATTAAATCCTTTATCTTTTAAAACAGCAACCGATATGCTGTTTAACTTTGATAGGAATTCCACAAGGTCACCTTCAAAGCTTAATTTATGTGCAATGGTTAACATGAAGAGTGTTCTTTATCAAACTGAAGGCGAAACCACTTTTATTGTGACGCTCAATGAAGTACATGATCCATGTTCATTCGTACATATTGTATTTCACGGTGATCATTTTATTGAGTATTATAAAATGATCATGGTCGGTGAAATATACTTTTTCAAAGAAGCAACTTTTAATAAAAAGGCATCTCAATCAATTCCAATTTTTGAGGTTGTTGAGGTCAGTTCAATTGACCCGGTTAAAAATATCAACAGAGAACACGAAATGGTTTATAATAGTAGTAACCTAGTTGAGAATACCCAAAATTCAACTGATCTAGGTCGTATGTGTTTTGGTTATGAAGGCATAATCACCTATATCATAGACAATGCTTTGGGATTGTTCGTTTTAGATTCGGAATATATCTTACATCTTGGCAAATATCCAGAGTATAATCCATTAATAACTCCATATAGGCTTGGTATGAAGTTGCTTTTACACAACATACATGCAATAAAACTCACAATGGAAAAAGACACTTGGAAACTTAATAATCACAAAAACTGTCCTAGCTTTGAAAGTATTAATGTGATATTTGCTGCTTGTCACTGCAGTACCGTTCAAGTGATCAGATTTCCGAATGAAATCATTAGGTCTGATTCGGTTTCGCAAAAAATTATTAGTAAATTTTCAAGTTTTCGTAATAGTGACTTGATAACTTTGTTGGAATTATTATGGGTTCAAAAGGCATATTACGACATTTCCAACAAATTCCCGGGTGAATTTGAAGATCAGACCTTGTTAAGTGATCCAAGACCAAGTAAAAGCAACGTTGAGGCCTGTCTCCTTTCGAAACTTTTAAGGAAATATCGTGTATCAAATTATTTTCAAGATTGGGCACAAGATTATTTTAATCATAAAAATTCTTGTCGTATTACTGAAGAGAATGAAGAGATTAATATTAGGTTACCTCCAATATCGGAAGTTTTACAATTTATTGATGAACTAGTCTCATCACAAAGATTATCCGAATTTCTTGGAGGGGATCAGTCAAGAGTATTTTCACAGCTTGAAGCAAAATTAGAGAAAATTCATTTGATGGGGTTTCTTGAAGTGAGTTTGGATGGAACTCTTCAATTAAAGGATCAAACTGGAAAGATCTCGGTAGTTAATATCTCTATTGAAAAAGTTCATACTCATCATCTAAATAATGTATGGATAATTCCTGAATATGATCTCATGATTGAACAACATAGCAAAATCTATTTACGTTTTGCGATTGAAAAATGTTTTTGTTTTTACGCAAAACCATATAACTCACCATTTAAATATAATCAGATCTTTTTCCAAGTTCGTCACATTTTTTCCACAAAATTGAATTGTCCATCAGAGTATTTAGCTCCCAATATGAATTGTAAACTACAAATAGAGATGTTAGATTTTTCAGAAGATTCACCAGATTTAACTACCAATTCACGAAAGATTGCTTTCAACAACACTTCAAGATCAGCCTTTATTCATTTATCAGGAGATTTTATCAAGATTTTACCAACGATACACGTTGGCTTATTCTATGAATTATCTTTTGGTAAACCTGAACAGATAATCAATTCAATGGGAAGGATAATCAATTTTAACTTGAATAATTTCGTAACTGCGAATGTCATCAACTTTCAATGGGATGCGTCCAACTCAACGTTTGAAGATTTGCTTGGTCACGTGATTCAACCTAAAATTCTCGAATTGGATGAATCGTCCAAGGACTCTTTTCGAGTTCTAGAAAAAGCATTCTCGATAGAGGATAAACTATTAGATGTACAGGAAATTTTGAATGAACATTTTATTGGTAGATTAGTGTCTTTGAAGGGACTCGTTGTATCAAAAGAAATTCGATCGTCATTAGCCCAGCCAAATTTCATGAATTCATCAACATCAAAATACATTAATGTAGGACAATTAAATGCTAATTTGTTACTTAGAATTCAAGATATCCAAACAGAGGAAATCATCGATGTATATATAAATAACATATCAAGATACGTTATTCCTATCGGTTTAATCCCAGGACAAACGATTACATTGAGAAAAGTTGAAGTCAGAAAATCTGATTTGGGTAACTTATATTGTTACGCGCATGAGATAACTCATATATCATTGCAAGGGTATCCAAAAGCAAATATATCATTTTATCAAGAACTCGATAACACGAACTTAATAGATCTTTTTGAAGATGGGATTTCTATACAATGTACATTTCGAATTCTTTGCAGAATAACTCATATTTATGAAATTATTTTGCAATTTGTTTGTGAGGCTTGTGAAAGAATTATATATAATAATTCTTGTCCTAATGGTTGTCATTTAGGCCGAAGATTTTACGCTTTATGCAAATTTAAAATTTCAGATGGAACGTGTTTCGCAATTGTAACCGCTAGAGACGACATAGTAGTTAGGGAATTATTGTGTATTAACGATGATTCTTATCGAAAAATTTGCGACAAAGTTGAGAAATCAAGATTTTTTTATGAATGGAACATTTCGAATGATAACGATTTTATGAAGAAATCTCTCTCTGATTTTATCTCTTTAAAGGGCATCCGAAGAGACGTTATTTTGTTTTGTAGAAAATTACATAAAGAGAAAAAAGAGAAAATTATTGATCAAACGCAACAATCTTCAACAATAGAACTCAATGCTGTACGAATTGCAGAAAAATTACCAATTTTTGAAGCACGAAAAAAATTAAAACTTGTTGAGAAAATAAAAAGTATATTATCTGTTATATATATTATATATTATATTTTATATTTATATATATATATATATATTTCTATTGAATTTTTACATATTACAATAACTTTATTCATAACAAATTTTTTTTAGGTAATCTAAATGACATCTAAATATGTAGAAAAGTTTGGAAATAGACATTGTATATTTTTGATTATGCTGTATAATTAAACTGTTATATATTATGGACTTCTTCACAATGTGCTAATTAATCTTCAATTAATCCATGTAATTATTAAAAAAAAAAAAAAAATCAAATTGATAATTTAATATTCGTATCGCAAATCTTCGGCATAACTATCCCTTCGATCTTCCCGACGATTTCGACGCGAGCTTTTCCGATCTTTTTCTCTTGATCTATCATCCCGATCAACTCTATCAGATGATATTTCTCTAGGTGGCGAAGATCCACTTTCAGAATGTCGACTTTCTTCGCTCTTATCGCGTTTAACTCGCCTTTGTTCGCGTAAATAATTTCTTTGAGCGGCAAAAAGCTCTTTCTTTAAATATCTTGATACCTCTTTCAAATGCATGAAATTACAGAATCCTCCTCTAGTACATTCTGCGTTTTCATTTTGACGACAACAAGCTTCTCGAAAATCTGTAACTGGAGAAAGCTCGGCATAAATAGGCCGTCCTTTGTAATTTAATTAAAAAGAAATATTTGTTAAAGTCGTCACATATAATAAAAAAAGATGAGCATAATAAAATGAAAGGATGGCATACCAGCATAAAATCTTTGGTTAAGATTATCTACTGCTTTCTGAGCATCTTCTTCATATCTAAATCGAGCATAAACATTTCCAATCAAATGATCCCCTACATTATCACATACATGCATCTCTTCAACCTCTCCATATTTGCACAATTCGGTGAAAAAATCTTCATAAAAATCGTCAAAATGTGCTTGAATTTGTTCTTCAGACATGTTACAATTCGTATCATGTGCGGGGTTTTGATAGATGTTAGAGCAAAGAATCGTTTGTGAAAATGTCGGCTTAACATGTTTCCTACTACATCGATCTCCATGACGACAGGCCCCAATTTTAAAATAAAAAGAACAATTAACCCTAATAATAATAAACGATAAAATAGTAAGTACAACTTTTAAACTAAAACAAAATCTGATCTAAAAGACTTACTTGTCCTTTTCTGTTCCATAGATCGAAGCGAGATATTCTGCCATAATGTAATACTAAATTGACCAAGTTTTGTAAACTAAAACGGAATTAACTATTACTGACTGTAGATCTAACTTATAAATAAAAAGTTTGGGGAGAGGAACAAAAATTGTCGGTTCTGATAGATCCGACTGCCGATCAGTGACCTTACTTAATTGGGAAGTGTTTTATATAAATAAGGGGAACAATTCAAATGCGTCGCACAAATTTTTTAACCCGGTTTAATTGAAAATTTTGCTAATGAAATCGTAAAGAATTTTTTGCAGATAAATAATTTGATTATCAAAAAAATTTAATAAGCTAAATCCCTAACGTTCTAAAAAGCTATAGAAGCACATTACTTATTTGATTTATTATCTATTTTGTAATCTAATAATAAAAAGAATTTTATATTAAAGTAATTAAAGAACTTAAAATATAAATGTAAGATTTTACACTTTCAATCCTAAGGTTTAATAAAGAGGCAAATAGTAAAAGTTAAAAAATAAAGAGAATATATTAAAAGAAATAATAATCATATAGACTTTATTTGGTAGTTTTATCTATAAATAATTCCATTTATATGAACGTAATTAATAAATTATTTATTATAAATATCCATAATAAAGGAAAATTTTTCTAAAATAATTAATTTTAAAATTTAGATAATAATATAATTGAAAAAAATTGATTAATAGGTTTATTATAACAAAATTTTTGATGTATTTTATTAAGTAAAGTCATATAATAAACAAAAATTTATTATATCATGAGTTTATATTATTAAGAATCAACTGTATAATCACTTCTATAATTATTGTTCTATTTTATTTAAAATATTAAATCACAATATCTATAAAATTAAATAATCAGAAAATTAAAAATTTAGTTAATTTTAAATTTTTGACTTAATTTTTAATATATTTAAATTTGATTAAAAAATTCTGTATTATACATTTTTTTGTAAAATAATACTTTTAGCTTTTGAAAATGATCATATATAAATAAAATAAACTTATAAATCAAATTATATAACTTTCTTTTAGATTTTTCTTTTTTTATACAATTATAAATAATTCTATTTTCTTTTCAAGTTGTATAATTGCTTTTTGTAAAAATATTAATTATATTTTTGTAATTAGAATTAAAAAGAAGAAAAAAATAAGTCTTTTAATATTATATTAAAAAGCATACTATTGTAATAGGAAAATATTAATCCAAAAAATCAGCTGATATAACATAATATATATGACCAAAAGCATATTGATTGCATTATATTAGATAATGAAGACAATAAAAATAAAAAAATAAATTAAATAAAAATTACGTAAAAAATCCAGAAGGCGTTGAAAATTCTTTTATATTATTAATCAAATTATATTATTAATCATTTATTATTTGTAATTAATAAATATTTTATTTATTTATATTAATGAATTAAGATAACTTTAGGACTTAATTAAAGATAGATAATTTTGTAAACAATTTTCAAAAAAACCTTTTTAATAATTATTAGAATTCAATTAGTTTTTATCATCAATAAGATAAATATTAATAATTATTAACTGTTCTCATCTGCACCCTAAAGCCATTCACCCTAAGATCTAAAAAATTAGTACCAAAATTTGATTAGCTTATATTAGCTTATTTGTTCACCTTAAGCTAAGGCTAGAAGATTTATATTTTAATTTAAGTGATAATACAAAAAATCTAATTTTAGTATTCAAATTAATATAATCAATGATTTTTATTAATTATAAAAATTTTTTTCATAATAACTGTAACAACGAAACTGAATAAAAAATTATTAGAGCTTTTCTTTTAATTACTGTTTATATAAAGATAATTTTAAATATTTAAGTTTTTTTTTAACGAAAACCTTTTTTTTATTATTAAATAATTCTACTTCTACATATATTCCTATTATTCAGATAACTAAAATATTATGTTCTAAAATATTAGAATATTAGACTAATATTTTTCTAAATTTACGAAAAGATACAGAATATAATTTATTTAAAAGTCATTTTTATATTACTCGTATTATATTTAACCTTTTATTATATTAACTTACAAAACATCTATTATATCAATCAGATTCACAAATATGATTAGAAATTCAAATTGCTATTGTAATTTGAAGGCTTAGAACTTGTTCAGGATTTTGTGTATTAGAACAAACTATGAGTATAAAAATTTATTTTATTAAAAATAATAATTTATTAAAATATTTAATATTAGTATTTAATAATATTTTATAGGAATATCTTAGGGTTTTGTTGTTAATTTTACTTCTAGGTTTTTATAAGCAATATCAATTTTTAAAAATGTAATTAAATGGCTAACAGAAAATAATATTAAAAATATTATAAATGACTTTACATGTCTAAAACTATAGCTATATTTAGATAAAGTTATTGAAGTAATAGGTGGATTTCATATAAAATTAATCTATGTATAAATATTTTGACAAATATATTAATCATAAAAAGGTTTATTTTTTAGTATTATTAAGTGTAATTGATGCAAATGAAAAATTTACATATGTATATACAGGAAAATCAGGTTTTATACATGATTTAAAAATGCTTAGAAGGTTATCATTATGGAAACAGATTATATTAAATAAAGAAAAGTAAGTAAAATATTTTTATAATTTAAATTTTTAATTTTTAATATAATTTTTTAATATATAATTTTTATTAGATATTTTTCAAATAATACATATTTACTAGATTTTCACTTAAATCTTAAGTTGCATATGACTTCATAATATAATTATATTATGAAGTCACATGCGACTTAGATTAAATTATGAAGGCAACTTTATAGTCTACTGGTATCTTCATAATATAATGGTAACTTTATAGTTTGCTGGTATCTTTATAGTCTGCTGGTATCTTCATAATATAATGATAACTTAATACTCTGCCAGTAGTTGTATTTTGGGCTTTTTGGCACAAAAAGCCCAAATGCGTCCAGAAGGTTTTCCTATGTCTTCAGAAGGTTATCCTGAGTATCAAAAATTTATTACATAGCGTAAACCCATTGTTATCATACATGTGACCTTAAGGAAATCATTTTGCTTTCTTGATTGGTATTCGCTCTGTAAACGTTTACTTCCTATATGTAAAAATAAATTTCCACTTTGGCA